AAATTTGAGTCCTCAACTTTAATTTATTTTAAATAATCAGTTGGAATTTCATGTTATGACCCACATATTTCCATTTGCATGCCATCCTATTTGTGTTAAGGCCCCAGCAGCCTTTAGAAACAGCTCAGTTTACCATGCTCGTTTGTATTGTTTCACAGAAGACAGCTGGATTTGCGGTTGCAGCCTGGCGGGGCAGATTTCAGAGAGGCAGTGGCGAAAGAAGTTACGTCAGTGGAACAGAGACACGGCCACAAGGAGGTGGAGCTGCAGGAGAAACTGGCAGAGGGCAGGAAACAGTACGCTGCTCTGGAAGACGAGTTCCGCATGGCGCTAACCATCGAGGCCGCTCGCTTCTCTGAGGTCTGATTTAAAGATGGAGTCATGCCATACAGGTGGCCTGTAATCACTGAAGTGTTGTCTTAAATTTGACTCTACATTCTCTGTACAGTTAAGCTGATAAAGTATTACTGTGTCCAGTAAAAAGTGAAATGATTGACCTGGAATTGACCCCAATCTAGATAGATTTAGTGTTAATGTGAACGCTGAGATTGAATTAGGGTCGTCTGACTCTGGACAATTAGTCTGTAATTGACACAGAAAGAAAGTTATACAAAAGGATTGTATTAGAATCAATCTTCTCTTTATGGATACAGAATTGATTAATTCATTCTGCACAAAATGTAATCTTCTCTTGATTTCTACCGCTCACAATTTTCTACTGAAAGGCTTCAACCTTTGACCTTTCGGTAAAAGTCTGAATAAGATGCAGATTGTGAGTCGAACGCTGGCGAGTGGAAACCTTTAAAAAATAGCTTTCTTTGGATGCGTACCTCTGAAACATTTTCTGTCAGAATGTGACATTGACTGATCACAATGTCAAGTCAGGTAATGCTCCAATCAAAGTGCTTCACTCTGTTCAACTCTCCTTCGATTCCACGTCCTCGCTCTGCTTCTGCAGGTGAAGGAGGCTTGTGATCAGATGACTGCACAGCTGTTGGGGCTCAAGGCAAGCCTTGCCCAGACCCAGCAGAGGGAGAAGAAATCAGGTTCCCTGGTGCAGGAGCTCACCGCCATGGTCAAAGAACAGAAGACCCGCATCACTGATCTCATCAAAGCCAAGAGAGATGCTGTCACTGATCTAAAGGTACAGCATTAAAGTAAAAGAGTGAGATCTGCCTGAATTATTTAGAATAAATTCTCTGATCAGGAGCGAAAAATCACATTATAAGCAGTGTTGGGCGAGCTACTTGTAAAGTATAGTGAGCTAAGCTACCAGTGAAGCTGAAATGAAGCTTCGATACACTGAAACTACTTTCGAGAGAAATTCTTCAAGCTAAGCTGCAGCAACATGGCAAAAGTAGTTTAACTACATCAAAGCTATACAATCATGCCCCTTAATACAATAGAATATACACCTGCCTTACACTTATGTCCAGGTACTACTCTGTCTGTAGCATATTAATATAACTAAACAGTCAATGTGCAACTCCCTCTGGATCAATTCCTCCCTGTTCTCACCCTCTGCCACCTTTTCATGCAGTAAACACAAGCTCGCTTGTCTGTATTTCCTGCAGCAGATACGTGATGTCATCGTCGCTGTTTATTTGTCCCAGTCCACCCCTGCTGTCGGCTATACATACACATACTGATCCCCTAGCAGTTTTATTTCAGACCGCAGGAGAAAACTGCTTTCAGAAATGCTCGGGAAAATGTAGCTTGTGTGGACGCTACCTCACTACTTGATCAATAAAAGAGCTGAGCGACTAAAAAGCTATTTAATTCAGAAAACGGCGACACTCGCACCACGTTGCTGAGAAATGTTATTGAAATAGTAACGCCACTACATGTAGCCCCTCTACTGCCCAACACTGTATACAAGATACAATAGAGATAAGCAGTTCTGGGCATCCATCATATTGTTCAGCCTGAGCCTTTAGGAGACTTTTAAGACCTCATGAATGCTGAATGGTCCAGCTGCCTTTCCTTCTGTCAGCCATGACAGATGGCTGTTGATCATTAATAATCTCTCTCTCTGTCTCTGTCTGTCTGTTTCTGTCCCTCTGCCAGAACCGTCTGCATTCCTTGGAAACAGAGGTGGGGCAGGATCGGCATCTCGGTCTGCAGCTCGAGTTGCTCAAGAAGGACACGGCTCGACTGTTGTCTCAGCTGACAGCTCAGGAGTCGGTGATCGATGGCCTCAGGGCAGAGAGGAGGATCTGGGGCCAGGAGCTCGCTCAACAAGGTGGGAGGCGACCAGGAGACATATGTTCCCCACTTAGAATGAGCCTTTTAGTACATGGAACACTTTGACAACTAGTTTTAGTTGCTCATCAGACACTAGTACAGGTTTTCTCTTGAGTCCAACTCTTTTATATTGGCCAGCAGTGTGAGTCACTCACTTTAGAGTCAGCATGAAGGAGACATTAGCTGGTTGGCTTAATACTGTATGTGCTAATGTTTTATTTAATTTGTAACAAGTAAAGCCTGTCATCTAGTGGTTATTTGTGAGAAACACACTCGGTAGACAGTAGACCTTCCAAAGAAATCCAATTTACAATTTGATGTACTTGTCTTTACAAGGAGCGTCTTTGGCTCAGGATCGTGGACGCCTGGAGGCGAGGATAGAGGTGCTGAGCGCTGAGCTGGAGACTCAGAAGAAACGGAGCGAGAGGGACAACGATGCCCTAAAAATCAAAACCAAAATCATTGATGACCAGACAGAGACCATCCGCAGACTCAAAGAGGTAGTGGGAAATAACATTTATTTTTACAATCAACACTTGAAATGATGAAGGCACAAGGTTACTGCTTCAACGTTTGTATTTGTGCATTTTAACATGAACATTACTATGTGACTGGTTTATGGGTGTTTCTGTATTTCTATCGACACGCTTTCTGTTTGTTATCGTGGAACACACTGAAGACATTTCTCCGTCTTCCTGCTGTCTAGACCCTGCAGCAGCGCGATGATCAGATCCGTAGGCTGAGTGAGGAGGCGGTCAAGGCCCAGAAGAGTTTCCAGCAGCAGCTGGAGGAGGAAACAGCTCAGCAGGCTGAGCTGAGGGAACGTCTGGAGCATGTAAGCCTGCGCAAGGAGGAGCTGAAACAGCAGCTGGAGGACAAGGAGACGGAGCTTGAGGAGATCAGAAGAGTTTACAGGCAAGCGTCCCATCACAAGCACACACAGATTACTAGATATACAGTAGCTACAAACATACATATACCTGGAAAAAAGTAATTTGGAAGTATTATTTAATATGAATAACTGATGTTGTACTGTTTAGAGTAAAGACCACTACGGCTCATGACCTGAACCAGCTCCCTGGTGTTTCTTCACCATCATCAAGTTGAGTTTTTTTTTTCTATTACTCCATATCTATTTTGTCTACCAGTGATTCCAGTAAGAAGTGGCAGGCGAAGGCAGACCTGCTGACTCAGCTGGAGAACCAGGTGAAGCGCATGAAGGAAAACTTTGATTCCAAGGAACGTTTGCTGCTGGAAGAAAGAGACAAAGCAACAGAGGCGCACAAGTATGATACAACACATCCAAGTAAAAATCTGCTGTTCTGTTATATTTGGGGCCAATGTGTAGTTATCAAGTCTCGGTTCTAATAGCCCACATGTTTTTTGTTTTTTTTTAGACTATCATTAATCATGGCTCCTCCTTCCCTCTCGCAAACCCAAAAGCTAGAAAACTTTGAAGATTCATAATAGTAATAACATATTAGTTATGAAGTCTGTCGTCAAATCCTGATCAGGGTGTATTAGATCCGCTGAGACAGAAGCGGAAGATAAACACAATATTAGTTTATGTTTATGTCAGTGATTCTCTTCTGGGGCCGTCCACCCTAGAAATGTTATTGTACCCGGGCAGTTAGCGTGACACCCAAGTGTCTTCTATAACATTATGATTTATTTGTTGTTTGTCTTGCAGAGATGCAGTAGAGAAGTTGCACTGTGTGGATGATGCATTTCGTCGACAGCTGGAGTCCGGCCAGGTTACCCATCAAGCTGAGCTGCTTCGACTGGCGAATGAGAAGCAGAAACTGATTGAACAAGCCAATCAGAAGGTAAAATATACACACTAGGATAGTTTTCTGGCTTTGTGCCAGCGTGTTCATATGTGACATATATGAACAAAATCCTAGTCTAGCCCTCAACTCTAATGTGGATGAGGATTGATCAGTGTGTGGTAAATACACTACAAATAGTCTGTAATGTTTGATATTGTACAGTAGTGTGATTTTCTAGTGTTTTACCTTCTTCGCCATTCAAAAAGGTTCTTATAGTTAACTATTATAAAATGAAAATAAAGAGTTGTGTATGTGTGTGTCTTCTTCAGGTGTTTGAAGTGGAGGAGGAGATGCGTCAGCTGTTGGAGGAGACGGAAACCAACAAGAGAATCATGGAAGAGAAGATGAAACGTCTCACAAGTGTACTAAAAGACTTCTAACAAATTAAATGACTTTGCAGCTATTTCAATGTATGAATATAAACACTGGAGTATAATTAATTATTTTAAATTAATACATTTTTTTATATACATGTTCTATGTTAAATTATTTTTGTATTTTAGCATATCACGATTTATCTAATAAACACTCTCTTAAACAGATTTTTGTCTTTTCTTTAAATTATACATAAACTTGATGAGAACGCAGGGTTTGATGGGTAATATTTATAAAAACTTTATTTGTATGTCATATTTCATACAAGAATACAAGGCTCGAAGATTCAAGAACTGTGATTTCCCAAAATAATAAAAAACTGGTTTTGAAAAACGAAAGAGTGACAGTAAATCAAATAAGTATTAAGTACGTTTAAGTAATATTGTTTGATTGTCCGGTTGAAGGGGGGGGGGGCTCAAAATCAGGTTGAGGGGGGGGGGGGCTCGAGCGGGACCAGTGTTGCCACGGCAACTGTAACCTAACGTAACGTAACGTCCTTGATTTAAACCCCGCAGGTTGAACCGTCGTCCCGTCGAGATAACATACGTTATGTTGGAGTGTAATGCTCGTTATTCCTAAAGTTAGTTAAACACGTTGGCTGACTATAAGCAGGACTCTGTTTTAAAGAGAAGAAGAAGAAGATGGAGTTTGAGGCCACGGAGACTGTCCGCTCGACACCGAGTCGACACGAGAAAAGTTTGGGGCTCCTCACGATGAAGTTTGTCAGTCTAATTCAAGAGGCGAAGGATGGCGTCCTTGATCTGAAAGTGGTCAGTGAAACGGCCCCGTGTCGTTGTTTTTGGGGGGAATTAATCTATTAATGTATGTTCTCTAGCGGCCCCTCGGCAACAAAGGGCTGTTAGCCACAAACTTCAGTCAGGTGCATTGATTTGTAACAGGTGGACCAGCTATAGCCGCCATTACCTCCTCGATTGAACACCACACTCACAAGCAGTGAAACAACAAACTACTTGTTTACAGAGGGAGAGCGTAACTACCAGATTCTAGCCAGATTGTTAGTGGTAATAAACCAGTTTGTACTGTTAATTATATTTAAAGTGAGCCCCTCCCCCCCTTTAGTATAGAGTAGACTAATGAAACAAGCCTAAAGTCACGAGGAAGTCCAATTTATTACTATGTTGATTAATGAAATCAGGACTACATTTAAAGCCCAAGTAGAGTTAGCCCAATCTCTTGTGATTGTAACACCTTAAAACAAGACAATATCTTACTCTGACCCATTGTCATTAACTGCATGTCTGTGGGTTATCTATAAGGGCAACCAAAAAGTGATGCATCCTCTTTAGTTTTTAGGGCCCTGATGAGGTAAAACTATGACGTAATTCACATGTGGGGAAAAATGCAATAATTAGGAGGAATGTCCAAACAATTGAAATATAGTTTTGTGTATTTTTCTGCTTTCCTATTGGCCTAATGTTCAAGATTCATTGCAGATTTGCTGCATTCCTGTGTTTTATGATATAAACAGAATATCTTTGTGTTTTGGATTGTTGGTCAGACAAAAGGACACATTGGAAGATGTCTCCTCGGACTGGGAAAAGCAGGGATGGATACAGTTTTCTGGTGTTTTGTAGACTAAAGTAATCAAGAAGATGATCGACAGATTAATCGATAATGAAAGTAGTTGGTAGTTGCGATATAGTCCATGTTCCTCTGACAGTTTCCTTCCTACCATCTCTCAGATTATTGTCTGCTGTCAGCTACAAACTAGAAACAGTGAATGAACATTTCTAAGCCCGTCCCCTCAAGTTTCTTCCACAGTTCTACCTTATTTTCATCACACTAGTAGTAGTTTTCCCTCCCTTCTTGCGCGCCAAAACTGGGTTATGTTTACACAGCAGGCTTCTTGGACTCTTTCCCTCCTCCTCCTCCTCCTCCTCTACTATTGTAACTTTCCTCTCCTGCCAACGACTTTTATTTTCTGTTTGTGCAGCTTAATTTGCCAAATCCTTGATTTGTTGGCTTTGTTCGAGTCTTCTTTCCCACAGAAGTTCTGGGTTTCCTGTTAAAGTGTCTGATGTTTCTGTCAGCGCGGTTCATATTAAGCTGCCGCTCAATAAGAGCCTTAATGGGAATGTCTCACTGAATCAACAGGCTGCAGACAGCTTGGCAGTGAAGCAGAAGAGGAGGATATATGACATCACCAATGTACTGGAAGGAGTCGGCTTGATCGAGAAGAAAAACAAGAACATAATTCAGTGGAGGTTTGAAAAAAACAATTTTCATATGTTGGAGTCCGTGAAATATCTGCTTTCTTACTGATAATGCCTTCGATATCTTTGAACTCTTGTCGTCGGTGTGAAATGTGTGAGAGGATCTCCCATCTTACTTTTATCCATTGAATTTTTGAAATGAAATGAAACATTTTGACACTTTTAGCAGCCAAATCTAGTTTTAAGCTGCCAAAATGGAGCAAAAACATGACTCGTATACGACTTGTGCTCATACCTCATGCTTGCCTCTCTGATGTGTAATCTTCCTCGTGTCCAGGGGAGAGAACTCAGGCAGCCAAACTGAGGAGGTGCTGGAGCAGGTGAAGGTTTTGAAGGCCCACATTTCTGACCTGGAGGCTCAAGAAAAAGAGCTGGACAACCAGAAGGCGTGGCTGGAGGAGAACATCAAACACTTTAACCTCGATCCCATCACCAGCACATATCCTTTCATGCCATCTGGCATTACATGGAGATGTGTTGCTTGTACCTATTTTAAGGTTATTTAGCAACTTGCTGTGGCACTAAACACATTTAGTGTAGAACACATTTACTACTGAGGCTTCATGTTTGTTTCTTTCTACAGTTTGTAACTCTAGTCCTCTTGAGGCCCCATTTTATTCATTTCAGAGGAAAAAATCTCTACTTATCCCTTTAACATTGTTTGTTATGAAGAAAATGCCATAAAGGGAGGATTATAAATACAATTGCTATTGTTGGTCTCTTGTGAAATCACAGCCTGGCTAATCCTGAGTTGCACAATGCTCACAGTCTTGTTTTTCCAGTTTATTGTCTCCATTTTCCTCCCCAAAGTAATCTAGCTCCTGTTTCCTTAACACCTCTCCACTTATAAATATGTCACACATGAAGACATCTGCAGTGCCTTCAGCGGAGACACTCTCCTCGCTATAGTGGCTCCTGCTGGGACCCAGCTGGAGGTACCGCTACCTGAAACGGTTGGTCACATCTTACAAGCGTTCTTTATTGATTGGCATACATGTAATCACCAAAAAGACAGGAATTCACCATATACTGTATTCATCGGTTTCTATCATAAACCACATGTAGTCTGTTATAGAATCAGGCTAACAAGGGACAGGGTTCTCTGCACATTTGGCTGCTTGTTCGGTATGTATTTTCTGTAATGTGTATCAAAATAGTGTTGTTAAATATTATTATATATTAGGGAGACAATTTTCAAACTTTATAAGACTACTTAAGCACATGCTGAGCTGAGCTGAACATAAAAGCTCCAGCAAGACACTGGAGTGCTGCACTTTAGCTTACATTCATAAACACCCGTGTCTAAATGACTCCTTATCTGTGAAAACACAACGCAACTCTGACATATCATCACCGTTTCAGTTGATAGCGCAAACTTTAATAAACAGTTGCTCATTTAAATCTCCAGCAGGTTCGGAGTAACATCAGAATTCCTCTGCGGTCATGTTTCAGGACATATGTGAATGTGAATGTGAACTCAATATTTGCTCTGTTTTTGGTCTCTCACTTTTGATGGAAATTTAGCTATTACATGCTCCACTATGTTTAAAAGCTAGTTGCACACTATGTGTGGCTGCTGTTTTGGTGCTGAGCAGGTAATGTGCTGCGAGTTTTTAAGAGTTTTTTCCCGCTGGAAACCGCTGCCTGCTGCAACTGAAAATCATGCAGTGAGAGTGAATCAAAAGGGGAAAGTTGTGGCCATAGAACCAACAAATAGCTGCTCTGCTGCTATCTTTTTTTGTGGGTTCGTCACTACACAAGTCCTGTGATCCATTATGTATATAAAAAAATATATTTTTTAACTGCTGTAATGACGCTAAACTTCTCTCCACTGCTGATCCTCAGGGCCAGAGTGGACAGAAGTACCAGGTGAACCTGCGCAGCCACTCGGCCCCCATCCAGGTCCTGCTCATCAACAGGGATTCAGACTCCACAATACCCGTGGTCTTCTCTGTGCCGCCCACTGACGACATCTGTACAATGCCAACTCCCCCGAGCACCCCCGCCAGCCTGCAGAGGTTCCCTTTGTCCACGTCGGTGTACTCCACCACCAACACCACCTCCTCCTCCTACTGCAGCAGCCAGGACTCCCTCTGCTCAGACCACCAGATGGTGCTGCCAGAACATGATGAAGTGCTGACTCCGTCCTCCAGCCCTCCCGATGTGCAGATGGGTAAGTACAGGGACTTTGAGGATTTTAATGCTTATTAAGGTATTCTAGAAAACCACCATGTGCAATTATTACTGATTTTGAATGGCCTCTCTTAGGCTGCAGTGAACACAATTGGACAGACAAAAGCATGACTTTACACTCAGATGTTTATATTTTGTGCACGGTCATATTTTATACATGTAGTAAAAGCTTAATAACAGAAAGGATTAAATGAATAAAGCCAGCCACAGCTTTAATGGTTAATAAACATAAGATATTGGTTGATTTTCACCTTTTCAGTCCACACATTACAGTCTGACAATATCAAAAACAGGCCTGACAAAATATCGATCCCTAACACGTTGAATAAACTGCGGCCTATGCAGAGGAGCTATTTAAACAATAATCCCAAAGCACTGTCACACTTGGGCATTTTCATTTTTCTCTCTCAAATCCTCCGTCATGATCTATTTGAAGTAACATACTCCACCCCGTGAGTCAAAAGACATTGGTTTGAGTCCCTCCCTCTGGTTTCGTCACTTATTGTAATATGAACGGTGTTGGACGTCCACGCTGACTGATACTGGCTGACTGCGCTTGATGTTTCACTTAATGAAGAGAAAATCCTACCTGTGTAGACTTGTCTACCAAATGCCACCAGTAATATCACCCATCCAAACAATAGACTCCATTGCCACCTAGCGACAACTGAAGCAGCAGTTGTATATAACAGCCCTGCAAGTGTGTCTTGCCTCGCTACCACATAGGAATGACTGGGAAGCTAGTTTCAATCTGACTGCACCTTTGGGAAACAAAGGCTAATGAATCCAAGGTGTGTAACGCGGTTACTCATTTTAAACAGTTTAAATACCCATTGTTCTCAATGTCGGATGCTGCTGCCTTTTTTTTTTTGTGTAACTCTGCACTTAGACATTCAAAGATCAGATGATCTACTTGTTGTTGAACTGTGTTGCATTATACTGAGAGTAAAACATTTAGCTTACTATGATGGTTGACTAAATACTTTCTGAGACACTTTTTCAAATCTCTGTGTTGCATTCAAAGACGCTCCCATGTCCAAGAACTGGAAGTATTAAATTGCTAAGATATGTTGTCAGGAAATCAAATCCTGAAGACAAACAGTAAGAAAACACTTCCGTTAAAAAGTGAATCGTGTGAATCTGGTTGATTGCTTTCTATCAGCTGACTCAGAAATATCAGATGTCATCTTGTCCTGACATGCAAGAACAGGAAAAGTCATTGCTTGCGTCTGTTATACACTGTGATCATAATGTAACCGACACTGTGTGTGCGTCATAATAGCTTACCTGTCTCAAGCAAGTTTAGTGTTGAAGTTGATTTCATAGTGCAGTTAAACCATTGGTTGTCTGGACCATCAGAATTAATGTCTGTAGAAAATGGTCAATATTAAGACATGCGATTAAACATGCAAAACCAGAGCTGTTCTTATTTGAGTGACACCATCCGACGAAATACTGTACGGATGCAAAAGATACGGCGACTAATGAGAATGGTGTTTGAACTTTGCAAACTCAGTGTTTCGAAAGCCTCAAATTCTTCCTCTTCTTGGAATTTAGAGTATCTAAAACCGCTCCTTTCATAAACGTTTCCTCCATCCAGCTAATCGTCTAATGTTTCTGCATAAAATGATCTAGTTTGGCAACAAGTACGATTTCTATAACCCCTCCACAACAGCTCTAGTGTTAAGAAAGCAACACGATCATGATGTAAAGCAGAAAGGCCACAAGGTTCTTTCACATGACGGTTAAATAGAATAATTGAGTTAATTGTACAACGTGCAGAATTTGAAACATCTGTGATTTGATCTGGGCGTGTTTTTGCAAAGCTAGATTTTGAGTGTAAAGAATGCATTTCTGGATGACATAGATCAGCTGTGGAAGAGACATCTTGTATGTATAACCCCACGCATTGCCTTGTTTCCACAACCCAGACGGACAGACTGCATTTACATCTGTCCCCACGTCAGGTCACGGGAACGCACTAAACATAAAATAAACTTCCAGTCTGTGCGAGAGACAAACCACTTCTTTATCTTGAGCTAGGACTCTAAGAGACGAATGAGTCGGGATGTGCTCAGATGCTAACAGACTCTTGAAACTCAGTCAGCCCTTTCCTCCAGAAACAAATGAGGAATTACCAAAAACAATCTTTACTGTTGCACAACACAATATTGAAGATGTTGACAAAGAAAACATAGTGCGTGTTTACATGACGGCTCGTCCAGGTTTAGAGACGCTGGTTGGTGCATTTCTTTACCTTAAGACACAGCCAGGAAAAATTAGCAATTTGGATTTACAAAGGGAGTAATGTGTGTGACTCGAGTCCTGTTTAATAGCTCTGCCCAGCACCCTCGTGGACTTGACATGAAGTCTAGAGAATTGATTTCAATACAGATGATTGTTGAGTCTGTCTCTGTCCCAGTGCTTCACATTCAGGTTTAATTTTCTACAAGCGGCTTTCACTGTACAGCTAAGTATTGTTGTTGCACCTGCAGCGTGCTACAGTCAGTCGGCAGCAGTGCTGGAGCAGCAGCAGCACATGGACCTGGAGGGCCCAGAGTTCCAGTCTGTAGTGGACATGAGCAGCCTGTTGAAGCTCAGTGCTGCTGACATGAAGGACGACCGAGAGGGTGAGATACACAGCTAGTTTCATGTTTTCTTCACTTTCGTTTCAGTTATGGTTCTGTAAAGGCTTGAAGATGTAAGCTTTAGGACTTGGACTGGTGGGAGAACATGGCTGAATAATACACTGATATTTTAAATATACTACTTTAATCCCGCTTTGATGGTTATGAATTAATGTTGCATAGTCTGCAGTGAATGTTCCGTGTACTGAGAAATGGAAACATGTTGTCTTTAATTCTCTTGTAGGAGCCGTCGACCTGATCGATGAGCTAATGTCGACTGACGGTAAGTGTCTGAAAACCTTGACTAACTTTATGAATGAAACATTGTGTCAAGTATTTGGAATTTCAGTATGTTTAAAAAGATAATCAACAAAACTAAGAGTCTAAAGCTGTGCCATCAGCTCTGTGAGATGCTAACATGCTAACAATGACAAGGTTAACATGCTTTAGGAGGTGTAATGTTTAACAGGTTCAACATCTTAGTTCAGTGTGTTAGCATGATACATTAGCACCAAAGTTCAGTTGAGGTTGATGGGAATGTCATTGTGTTTGATCATGAACCTAAATATTGGCATTCATCAGTTCTGACCTGATGGTGGCGCTAGAGGAAAAGTCAGAAGGACCTCCTCACAGCACCATAGATATCTCTATCAAATTGAATGGCATTATACAGTTTATGTCTGGACCGAAATGGTCGACCGCCCGATGTTTGTTTGTTGCCAGTAAATAATTCTATAAAAATCTCTTTGTTGTCTTTGTCTTAGTGGTGATTTACAGTATGTTGTGCTGTTGATGCTCCTCTCTCCTCACGCAGGAATAGAGTACAGCTTCAACCTGGACGACAATGAGGGAGTGTGTGACCTGTTCGATGTGCAGATTCTAAATTACTGATGGCTAACCGCGCCTCCTCTGCTGCACGCTTTTACAATCTCAGGAGCCACCTTTGCCTCTCTCTCTCTCTCTCTCTCTCTCTAAAGACACTTCAAAGATGCCTTTCCCCCTTTTTTGTTACGATGCACAGCTGATAATCAAACATTCCATTGTCATATTAAACACTACTTTTACACACACTTAGACTGCAGTTTAAAACACGGTGCCTGCGTTAGTTCACCGTGAGACATTTGTGAAGCCACGAGTCATTATCTGTCCAGTTGAATGGTTGTGCTGGGTGAATACCGCTCCCTCAGTCGGAGTAAGCCGGGACAAATCCTTCAGCCTCCTACTGCACTTTGGCATGTTAGTATTTTTGTATTTTTCCACATCCAGTGGAAATTCTGAGATTATACGACAGCTTTACTTTCTGTTCACGAACAGTTGTGATTGTGAGAGTGTTTTCATATTGGTTGATATTCAGAGTAGCTTGTAACAACTCAGTATTTACTGCTTTCAAACATTTCATAAAGGGTCGATGACCTAGTTCTGGCTATTGAGCCATTTAGGATTATGGTTCTTTAAAAAGCATATTGTGTAAAAACTTACCCAATTCAATAGTTACATTTGATAAAACGTCGTATAGTATTTGATGAGTGAATGTTTCGGGTACATTTTGTGACCTTGTTCTAATGTGAAAATGGCAGAAAGATTTATTTTCTAAATTATTATGACACTGCCATTTTGGGCCTCTATTTTTTTT